TCCCCCCCCCCCCACACCCTTTGCCCCCGGTGTCGGCCTGTTTCCCCGCGCTACAGCCAAGCTCTGGCCGGCTTCGGCATAGCCAGCACCACGGCGCCAGGCCTCTCACAGCATCCCAGGGAAGGCGACGGGGGTGACGGCGAATCATTGAAGGCCTTCTCGGGCGGGGGGGCTCTTGTTGCTAGAAGTGGTAGTGGTGGTGACCGTGAACACCCCGTACGGGAATCTGACAGCGGCGGTGGCGGCGGCGGCGGCGGCGGTGGGGGAGAGAGGGGGCGCGTCGGGAGCGCGGAGGTCTCGGACTTGCTTCGCGCCGCTAGGTCAAGAGGGCGCAGGAGGCGATCGTCGCGGCCCATGGTGAGAGTGAACGGTGTGCTGTTGGTGCGGTGTTGATGGTTGGTGCCGGGATGGGCTAAGGAGGCGCAAGGTTACAGATGCCCTACTTCTCAAGCATACCCCGACCGGGTTTTCATTTAGTTGCATTGTTCTTTTATCATGTCTGGCTTAGGGGGGACATGTCGAGCTTTATTTTCGGAAGGTAGATGTCACGGCCAATGGTGAGGGGCTAGAAGATGGCTGCGGAAAGTCGGCAATGTCCGAAGCCTCCGTTCCATTCACGCTCTCGCCATCCTACCTTGCCACCTTGCCCATACTTGGGCCGTGGTTTGACGATGATGGAAAAAGTGATAAATCGGCTCTGTTGGCCGAGAACAATGTATAATTATTTTTGGAATCTGTCTCTGTCTCTGTGATTTGTTTCGTATTGCAGGAGCTGCTGTCTGTCGAGGCCCGGGCGAGACTTGCACGCTTGCCGGACTTGTCATACATGCTGTCCCAGAGGATACGGTTTCCCATGCAGGCGGCCGCGCCGGTGACGGCGGCTGCCACCGGGGAAGCTTGCTTTAGGGACTGAAATATTGTTGGTGTTGTGTTGTTGTCCTCCTCGTATTGCGGCATGGCAATAATTATTGACAGTAGCTTACAGCAGTATTGTCCGCTTGACCGTTGGGGAAGCTTTGCTTTATGGGGTCCGTGTGTCGCATGACAAAACATGAAAGCAGTAACTTATTAATATTTGTTGTTCTGCGTCCCTGGTGAGAATGCATTGCGTTAGGGATTCGTTATTAGCGTCGCAATAAGAATACGTCCTCTGTGTCGGCGTACAAGGCCGATACGGATGCATGTACCGCAATGTAAGCCCGGTAGGCGCTTACGAGTGTCAGTGGGTGTTCGTGGTGTGAAACGACCGTTCTTGCCAACATTGTTGAACCGGTTTCCGCTGAGGGGGTGAGAGTGACGCGGACTGAAGACGGGAAAAGAATTGCATGAGAGGCATGGGAGCACGCTACAGTTTCAAGTGAAGCGCGAGTACTGCTCTGTCCGAGCTCTATAGAACTAAATACTTCCCGACACGCAGCACAGCGAGAGCCCCAGAGAAAGCCTGCGGCTGAAGGATGATTTGTGTGTTTGCGTGAAGATCCCTTAATTGTTCTACTCCATGGTTTCAAGCCTCCCCAACGTGTTTCGAGGGCGATCGATTGTCCTTGATATTCATTTGGTAGTATCGCAACAAGCGTGCGGCCGCGCGGATACCGACCGCAGCCCTATGCCTGTCTTTGGCATTGATTGGTTGCGTGGTGTCAGAGCTGTGAGCCGTGGGGTGCCGTAGATGCCTTCGTGTATGTGGGAGGGTGATATTAGTGCGCCCGGCCGCTTGCGGATCTCGGCCGTAGCAACCGGCGAAGCCCTCTTTTGGAGATTGATTTTGTGGCATGGTATTGCTTGTTGTGTGAGATGTAAGCCGTAGGGCTGGCGGGGACGAGCTTGTGAGGGGGAGGGGGGTTGGTTGTGCTAGAAAGGGTATCTGCAAGTGTGTTTTTGTGTTTTCGTCCCATCTATTCTGGCGCCAGTCTACAATTTCGGCGACATACAGCAGTTGATTTTAAAAGTTGGCCATCACTTGGACCCCTTCATGTCGAGTGCTGCCGACGACGTATCGTTAACTCCAACTTGTTGGCAACAATATGTTCGTCCTTCCGAAGAAAACGGCTTCGAAGGCTGAAGCTGGCCCGCCCCGCGACTACGCCCTCCTATGAAGCGGTGCTCACACGCTTCAGCAACAGTATTACCGTTACCTCAGCGGCCTTGTCTGTTGAGAAAGAATGGGATATTACCGGAGGGCAACATGCCTCCCGCATATATAGTTTCGTTCACACACAAAGCGCGAAAGACAGATTTGTAAGTTTGTTAGCTGTTTTTTCGGCTCGTCTTGCGCGTCTTCGTCTTTTCACCCGGGCGAGCGACTCCACCCTTGCATCTACTGCTGTAGTCTCTCTTTTACGTAGTCTAAATATACATGACGTACAATAGTCACGGATCAAGGGCGAGTTCGCCGACCAGTGGACTTTTAGATTATTAACTAGATATTCGCTCTCTGTGACTCCTAGATAGCAAGCTCTTGATGGCCGTGCGGAGATGCGAGGTGGGTCGCCCGCAGCCCGCTGTTCGTGCCGGCCGATTCCAGGCGCTGATTGGCCGAGCTCAACATTCCACCAACAAAAAAAACGAGGACAGGCATTTCTCACATAGAATTTGAGGGAGCGAGAGGCCAGAGAGAGAGAGGAGAGAACTGTTTGCCCCGCATCTCCACAGCCCAGGCGAGAGGCAGAGAGAGAGAGAGAGAGAGAGAGAGAGAGAGAGAGAGAGAGAGAGAGAGAGAGAAAGAGAGGAGAGAGCTGTTTGCCCTGCATCTCCACAGCCCAGGCGAGAGGCAGAACTATTACACCAAGAGCAACCGCCAAGAGTTATTTCTGTGTTTGGCTACCCGCTTCGTCCCAGACCCAATTTGCCGGCACTCCATGTTCTCGCTCCGCGGCGTGGCACCGCTGCAGGCTACAGCAGGAGACTACACCAATAGACTACACAGCAGTCGGAAGGCGGATCGAGGACGAGCGGCCGGAATTCTCCCACCGCTATACCTTACTCTCCCCCTTTCTCGGTGAGTGGCAGTCCTGTGGAAATGTCCGGAAGTGCCCGGTTGCAGTTGCTTTTGAAGTTACGAGCTTCTAAAGGGCAGTGCCAGGGAAAAATATACGATGCACCCATGGGGACGCACATAGACTAAGCCATGAACCATGAACCCACACTGTTTTTTACCGACGGAAGCACCCAACCAAGAGCGACCTACAGCAGTAGACCCACACAACCTAGCACCTACATAGGTCAACACCAAGCCATACCAACATAGAGATTATCCCATCAATACCAACCTATGACAGCACCAATCCCGGCACAACCTGTTGTAGAAGCGAGCCACCCAGCGCCAACCTAGCCCAATACCGGCACACCAACCTAACCCTAGAACTGAGCCACCCAGCGCTAACCTATCCCTAATGCAGGCACAACAACCTCGAACTGAGCCACCCAACGTCAATCTAGCACCTATTGGGTAGGTTTGGGTTTAGGCTGAGGGTTAGCGTTGGGGATCTTAGCCGGTTTCATGTAGTTGCTGGATGGAGGGACAGAAAATTGCGCCTGCCTGTAGTAAACGACAGCTGCAAGAATCAAGAAACGCATACATGTTCGCGACGCTCGTTACTCACACAGGATTTCCGTCGGTAAAAAAGGTGTGGGTGCATGGCTAACATGCGTCGCTGTGGGTGCATAAATATTTTTGAAGTGCCAGGAGACCGACTTCCCACCCAGACTACATTGGACTTAGAACTGTGCGATTCATGAACTCATCAGAGGAAAAGTGTGGCGGGTCCTACAGTAACCGCTTTTCCAAGAGGGTTCGCGGAGCCGACCTCTGGAAGCAATGCCACAAACTGGATCAAGGACCAGATCAGGGGGTTTGGGGGGCGGGGGGGGGGCGTACTCCTATGTTTTGCATGCCTTAGCGGTTAGACCATTGACCACGCGTCCTCGAGGGGACGGAGCGTTGTTCCCACAGGAAGATCACCGATGGCCAATCGTTCCTTTCTACTTTGCCAAAGGTGGCTCAAAAATGTCTTCCCCAGTCTGTCTATCCTAACGATATCCCTTCCCGCCTTTTCAACCCACCTCCTATGCCCCAGTACAGCTACCGTCCTTTCCTCTCTATTCCATGCCTCAAACATCTCCCTGTACGTTCCATCTACTTTTCCCAGCTGAGTCACGTACACTTCCCTCTCCTTCTTGTACAACGGACATTCCGCGACTACATGAACACGGTCTTCGCATTCGAAGCCGCAATCACATTTGAACTCGTCGTCTTCCTCGTCTACCGTCCTATGTCTTCGTCGACGTTCTCGAAGGCCTATGTCCCCGGTCCTGAATTTGACCTTAAGTTTTGTTCCTGCATCCATTGGTCCATGTAGGTAATCCTTGAACTCTTTTCCTTTCTTCGACATTCCGTACACTTCTAGGCCCTCCTTATCCTTGGTTTCTTTCCTTCGATTCTGTTCTCTCTCGGCACAAGCAACAGATATCTTCTCCTTGAACCCCTGTAGACCCTCCGTTTCCAGCGTTTCATCTTCGTCGATGTCGAGCCCCTTCCATACGTCCTCTACAACCTTGACCCATTCCGTGGGTTGTCTACCCCTCTTTTTGTTTGCCCACTTCGCCTCCCATACAATTCTCGGCAACCTCTCCTCTCCCATCCCGCACATGCGATACTGTAATGTCAGCTTCCTCGCGTCTCTTCCCGACCGTAGGGATTGGATCCCCAATTCTGCCCTGACGGCTGCATTACTTGTGCGCTTGGAGTATCCGAGGATGATTTTCGCTGCTTTCATCTGCGCCGCCTCGAGTTCTTTCACTACCTTCTTATTTCCTTCCCATACTTTTCCGGCTTAG